CATGTTGATATACTCCTCAATTTTGAAAGTTGGACCTGCCAAGTTGTGGTTATCAATGGACACTCTTTAAGGTCCCGGTAAGGAACTTACCGTCATATGCAGCTGGATTCGGTAACTGTGATATGAACCACGAGATGGATGGTGGAACATGTACTCGATCTGGAGACCTCTCTCGATCCCGCCTGCGATCATCTCGTGGAGGCGAGGGCCACCGTCTCCCAGGAGGAGCTGGCGCTCGGCGTGCAGGAGGTGGTGGGGACCTTCGCATTCTCTTCAGGTTGCTCGAAGTCTCTGCTTCTGGTAGAGGTCTCTTAGGCGGCACTAATGGCGACGCAATCCTTGCTGGTGGTCCTTTAGGCAGTGCAGTGGCGGATACAGGAGGGGTAGAGGCTGAAGGCGGGTGATATGGATGTGGATAGGTTGGCATTGTTCCATCCGATGCATTCGCTGTTGGAGGCGAATTTTGAGGCACGAGTGGTGTTGGTGCTGGCATTAACTGCGGGCCCTGGACGACGCTTGGAGGTCGAAGTGGGGTCTGTAAATCATGCGATGCGATAGCATCGATTCCTGCCGGTGGTGTGACCACTTCGCCACCTAAGTACATATAACGCTGGGCGAATAATTTCATAGCTCGATCTATCCAATTTGTCAAGACTGAGCTGCAAAAAAAACATACTCTACTCGCCTTTGGGGTATGCATCTGCTACACGTTTGTCCAGCTTGTGGAGCGCCGAGAGGTCGGCTACATTCATCTGATAAGTGAGCCATCTTTGCCAAATTGGCCTTGCTTTTTCTGCATCGAAGAGCACTATGGATTTTTCGAACAAAGCACGGGCATCTACCAAAAACTAAGTCTCTCATAGCCGATTGAATGAAAATACTCACTAGCCTCATCACATTTGTTGATAAGGAAGTTTAAATATCGGACAACATAGTCCACATCCGTCGAGAAGAAGCGTAGACCGAGCTCAAAGATTTTCGCAGCAACATCTGCGGTTGGACTAATCTGGTGTTCGAGAATGGCTAGAAAGTATGCAGAATTAGAACAAATAAGGATGTCATGATGTAGTCAATTACCTGCAGCTTCAAAGACTTGCCAGCAGACCCATTTATCTGCTCGAATCTCTTTGAAAACGTTTCTCATCCCTGCAGATTGGCCAACTCTTTTGGCATATCGCATCCAAGCAATGCCAACTTGGCCCAGTTCGATCCTTTTGTCGATGAGGATCATCTCCCTCCTCTTGTTCTCCTCTTCTCTTTCCCTCTCCCTCTCTTTGGCCTCGGCAACAGCGGGATCGATAATACCGTATATCTCGTTCTCTTTCATAGCAATATCATCCTCCACATTGAGAGGGGTAGCAGCACGAGCTGCCGTAGACTGTGCGGTTGTCCCTGCTGGATGTTGTGATACAGGGGTTCCTCCTTCAGAGATATGCCTTTCCTCGATCTCATCCAGTTCTTTCCTCAGAAGGCCAATGAACTTTTTGTATTGATCATGACCTTCGACCTTCTTCTCCTCCATCTTTTTTGGATCTGACCCAGGCGTTGTTTGTAATGTGATCAAAGCTTGTTCTTGATGTTCGTTGAAGGAGAAGTTTAACAGGAAAGAAGTTGGATTGGCTTCCAAGCCACCTTTTAAAAATGAGAAGGCGTCGTCCGCCTTTCCATTAGAAATGCACCATAGGTATGCAAGATGCCTACAGAACCGTTATTAGAGTAAATCATGGGTATATTATAATACTAATCACCAGATTTCAGGATAAAATCGCATATAGATAGTTGCTTTCCTGTAGATCGCTAGAAGTCGCGCATTCAGCATAGACTTCTCCTGAATGTCCAGAGGATTAGACTCTTCAAATTCTAGATATTTTCGCCAACTCGCGAGCAGAGAACGCTCTTCGGATCGTAGCACAGGAGGTGCTTGTAACTCAAGTGGCGCTCGATCATTATAAACAAATCCGTGAGGCAAATGAATTCGCCTATGATGATCAGCAAGTTCCGTTTTCTTGGTTCGAGCTGTCATATAGTCTGGGCTCACATCCGCGAGGAATTTCTTTGCCTACAAGCATTGTGTCAGGACTCGGTCTAGTAATGCGCACGAGGATCTTGATGAGATTGGATTGAACTCGCCAAATCAACCTTGACAAGGCAAGGCTCGCTTGGATCGTGAATCGATAGCACTCCTTTGAAGGTACACAGGGAGTGACGAAGGAGATCACACAGAATGTTTGATGCACGATATATATACTTCTGAATAGTTTAATACCTACCGTCAACTTGTTGAGACTATTCTCAAAGGCATCCCATTCACGCCAGATTTGTTCAAGATTATCGAGAGGTATTTGTACGGCACGTCTGTAAACACTGCGAAGAAGATCCATCTTTTCTTGGCTCTCGCGTTCATTTGAAGTCGGATCAGCCTTGATGTATTCGATATATTCTTTCCATATTTCACCAGCTTCACGATCTTGGCCAATAAAACGTAGGGCAAATTCAAATGCTTTTTTAATTACATCTCGAGGGGACGCCTGATTTGAGCTAACAATGCAATATTGAGCCTATATGTCGGATTGGGTGAACGCAGTATAACTGACCGAACGTATTCAAGATATGCTCTCCAGAGAGAAACCTCTGGCGACTGTTTCAGCCAAAGGGAAAACAAGGTTTGAGGAGTAGGCATGATATCTTGATCAGAGACTTTTGGTTTACCGATGGGATGGACTGCTTGTGAATGTCTCAAATATGCTAGTTGGGCCTGGACCTGTGAAGGCAACGGACGAGTGTCAAGATATTGATCGTATAACGGGATTTTTCAAATGACACATAGAAATACATGGGAAGGAACAGTAAGAAAGAGTTAACGCCTCGTTCCACGGTCTATACAAAGCCAATCTGAGCTTTTTGTCGGCGCAACTAACCGTATTGGGGTAAACCTTCAGGAGAGAGTCATAGGCCGTATGAATCAGATGAGGGTCTTCAGAATCCTCTGCAATATTGATCAGATCTTGCCAGGCGACAGTATCATACGGGTCGTTTTGAAGGTGAATCTGTAGAGCTTCAAAAGGAGTTGCCGGGGCAGCCGTTTGCTCTTCAATAATGTCTGTTACCTGCGAAGACTCTTGGTAGTTCGTGTCAGCAAGTTTGATGGGAGTTCCATTGTCAGTATCTGCCATTTTGGTGGCTACGTGAGGAGATGGTCGAACGTCAGACTAACAATTGGGCAGCCTGCCACCACTGTCCTGCCTCGTTCCACAGCAGCTTGACCGTCAAGCTTGGGTGAGTCTCGGAATTTTGAATACTTTTATCTATAAACTCGTATACGCCGTGCTAATGTAGGCTCCAGCACTCAATCGAACGTTCGACGAACAGGGACTCGACCCCAGCCATCACGAGTTCGCCAGCGACTGGGATGCACAAGGATAGTAGCAACCCAACCAAACCACGCCAATATCCTACAGATATACTACCAAACTCACGAGAGATTGCTTCTGCAAAAGATGATCTAAAAGCTGACGAGCTGGCCCTGCATCGTCTCAAGGTACTGGAGGAGATCGCTTTCGGTGAACTGGAGGATAAAAGAAGAGAAATTCTCGAAAGAGTAGCAGAATATCATGTTGAACGAGATATCATTCGAGCAAACCAATTTGCCGCTCTCAGTTTCATAGCACCAATCCGTCGATTACCACTCGAAATCTACAAGGAAATCTTTCTCTTTGTCAACGCTCTCGATTTACGGGGTAGAGCTGCCTGGCATATTTCGGCGGTCTGCCGTTTATGGCGGAGGATAGCATTGTCAACCCCAAACCTTTGGTCGAATATTCGCTTCTACGGACACTTGGGGGTATCACCAGACATAATCAGGCTCTGGGTGGAAAGATCCGGAAGCAGTGTATTGCTCGATATAGATATCGAGATTTCGCGACGCGGGCGGTACTCTTCAAGCAAGATCAAGCCATCCCTTTCACGATCTCATGCTCTTTTGCCTCCAAGGCTGAGGGGAGCTCAGGCGCATCCACCGGACGACAATATACACAGAACTGCCGCTCAATGGGGCCATGTTGCATTATTTTACCTCATGGCTCAGAAACACCGTTGGAGGACATTTTATTTTGAGTCACTTGAGGTCTCTATCGAAGCCCTTCAGATGCTTCAAGGCAAATCAACCGTCTTCGTTATCTCCATTTCTATATACTAATATCTATCATAGGACCCTTCCCATGTCTACGAGAATTTGTAGTACGTAGTGGAGATAACACCTTTCGTCCTTCAAGTTGGCAGTGGTTCCTCAGCCAGGCAGGAGGGGACAGTAGCACTCCTGTTCTTCGTAAATTGACACTTGATCATGTCAATTTTTCATGGAATTCTGGTGTCTTGAAGGGATTAACTTCTCTCAGGATTAACTTCCCGGCTCCCATGATTTACCATCCCCATCCTGCTAGTATGGACGCCATCTTTGGAATCCTGGTCAATAACCCCGATTTGCGGTCTCTTGACCTATGTGTCCAAGCCCTACAGACATCGGCGCTTCCTTCGGTTGAACCCCTCTCCCTCCCCAAATTAACAACACTCTCTTTGGAAGGGGCACCCCACTTTACTACTCTCTTGCAACACCTCACACTTGAGGGTTTGAAAAGAGTCAATATTCGTTTCGATACGCCTCAAAGTCACGATTTTGGGCAGTCCTTCAAGGACTTGCTGATCCGATCCAACTTCCCACCCATTGTCAGTCTCACTGTACAACAACCATACAGGATGCAAGAAACGAACCTTATTTATTTAGAACATCTCGTCGAACTGGAAGAATTCACGGTCTCACGATTACCAATGGAAGACATTTTACTCGCACTCAGTGCGAACGACTCTGATGGAAAGTTGGTTTGTCCCAACCTCAGAAAGCTCACCTTGCAATATTGTCATGGGCGAAGGGATTTGGAAAGCGTTATTCCAAAGCTGATCAAGTTTGTTGAAAAGAGGACGGGTACAAGAGCGAATGGAGTGCAAACTGATCTCGAACATTTAAGGATATCAAATTGCGGCTGCGTCATAGCTGGCCATACAGAATCTTGGTTGAAATCAAGATTGAAGGAACTTGTGGTGGAAGATTTTTCGGGTAGCATTTGCGTGCCATCAATCCCACAGTTTGACTGGGAGATCTTCACTTAACTTTATCTATCTTATTAGCACATCTCCCCATCAATCCATAACAATTCAATGCACACTCAAACATGAAACTTATGTAGTCTCTGTAAATAGAAAACCAAAAAAAAAAAAAACATAAGTGTGGAGATGACATCTATGCAAGATTGGCCAGATATTCCAGATACAGCGACTAATGCAATGAAAAAAATCATGGCTTGAACGAACCCCAGGCTTCGTTCAAACCAGCAAAGACACCATTTGCCAACATCCTCTGCTCCACCGTTGTATTACCAGTTTTCAGCTACGAAAGGATTGAGGTGGGCATAATTGTTGATTGTGTACAGTAGATAGGCATACCTTATCAGGATGAACCTTGGCAATGGCCTTCGTGTATCGTATTTTGACTTGAGATGGTGTGACCAGTTCATGCATCCCGACCTTGACCCATCCCAGTTCAGGCCACAGGACTGTGTCTAGACTAGCTATCAGGGCTCTCAAGTTCGCTTCTTTCCCGCCCTTCCAGTTCTGAATTCGGGCATCTACAGAATCTTTGAGTTGTATCTTTTCATTGTCCTCCGCTTCTTGCGCCGCTTCTGCTTGTTTGAGTCGTACCGCAGCCTCTGATGGTTTGGAAGGCGCGCTAGATCGCTGTACCGGTCGTGGTCGAGGCTTTGAAGGAGGTCGTGATGGCGCTGCTGAGGAGCCGGGTCCATCAGCAGAAGCCCCTTTATTTGCCGAGTT